CATGTAGCTGCGTTTGGTCTGGAAGTTACTGTATAGACCAGGCTGAACTTGAACTCACAGAGATCTGCCTTCCAAGAACTGGGATTACACATGTATGCCAACGCACTAAGCGTGTGCTGTTGTAATGCACAGGACAGTTTAATTTGTGATTGCTTTAGTTTGTGTAACACCGGGAATTAAGCCTAGGGCCCTGCACATGCGAGGCAGGCTACCACTGATCTACCAGCACGGTCTTCCCCAGCCCCTCCCTGGGGAGTCTGGGTAAGTGCTCTAGCACTCAGCTTCATCCCCAGCTCCATCCCACAGTTGAGATCCTCTGCTAGCTAGAGTCCCAAGCACATGTTATTTATACCTCAAAGGCTCTTGCCCAAGGGTTCCTGAATGCATGTCGGAATCACCCTTTAAACTGTTGTGTCTAATACCTCCTCCGGGACCTGGCTTACGCGGTCCAGACTGCTCTGGATGGGGAGACTGTTCCACAGCCTCTGTGGCTGTGCCACCCCTCCCCGAAGCTCGAGGTGCAGCTCGAAGGGGTAGCACAGGCCAACAGCAAGCATAGGGAAAGGTGAGCTTCTGTGGGCCAGGGGCTGGCTTGAGCATGCGCAGGCCTAGTGGACCAGCATCAGGAAAAGTGGACTGGGGAAAGTTGGAGACTGACCGAGAAAGATATCCAATGTCAACTTCTTGCCTATACATGCACCTATACAAATGTGCACAGACCCACATGAACATGTGCATACAACATAGACACAGACATATATATATATATACAGATACAGCCTGGTCGAGCAGCTGGGGATAAGAGAGGGGACTTGAAGACATCTAGCTGGCACAAGTGTCTGGCCTCTGTCCTGGAGATGGGAGGGAAGGAGATCTTTCGTCTCAGGATGAAAGAGCAAGAACACGGAAATGATGCGCCCTGTATTGTTCATATCAAGAGCTGTGCAGCGCCCTGCAGGAGCAGACAGGCTGGTGGCAGTGGGATACATTGTGTGGGATACATTGTGTCATCCAGAGGGGGACCCTCAGCAAGTCGGAAGCAGGTAGTTTGTTCCACCGCACGCACGAGGATACATTGGCTGGTGAAGGACAAGCCAAGGAAGAGGCAGCAGGAACTGGGGAGGGACTGTCAGGGAGGAAGAAGGGGCGGGCCAGCCAAGAATTCTGGAACCCCAGGGAAAGAGTGCTTTAAGGACCCGGGGAAAGCAAGAAGTGTACCCGAGAATACCTGGATTTTGCAAGGGGACGGGGGGCACGCGAATTCACTAGGCACAGAATGAGTGGAGGGGTACGGTTAGTGAAGGAGCCAGGAAGGAGCTGCTCATGTAGGAGGCTGAGGGTGCAGGGGGAGAAGAGGGAGAGAAAGCTATGTACACATGGAGGGGAGTCATCAATAAGAGGACCCAGGACCAAGGGGGGTATTTTTGTTGGCTTGCTTTTTTGTTGTGTTTATCATCATCATCATCGTTGTTATTATTATTTTATTTTATGCATCTGTCACGTGTGCAGTTCCCAAGGAGACCAGCAGAGGGTGGTAGAACTTCTCGTGCTGGAGTTAGAAGCTCTAGTGAGCTCCCTGATGTAGGTGCTGGGAACGGAACTGGGGTCCTTTGGAAGAGCAGGGAGCATACTTGACCACTGAGCCATCTCTCCAGCAGCTTCCTGTCTTTTTTGACAGGGTATCCCAGGGTAGCCTTGCACTCGCTATTTATCCCAAGCTGCCTCTAACTCATGATCTTCTGCTTCAGCCTCCTGGGTGTTAGACTTCACGTGTGTTCCACCGAGCCCAGCAAGGGAGTTTTTTATGGGGGAGCCTTCTGGAAGGAGATGGGTCAGTGAAAAGAGCATTGCTTTTAAATTGGATGCAAGCCAGGCACGGCGGCACAGGCCCTTACTCTCAGCCCTCGGGAGGCAGAGGCAGGCGGATCTCTGTGAGGTCGAGGCCAGCCTGGTCTACAGAGAGAGTTCCAGGACAGCCAGAGCTACATAGTTAGATCCCGTCTCTAAACTAAACGAATAATAAATTGCTAGAATGCAACTTTCAGAAAGCCCCTTCAAGCCGATCTTCAGTGGCGGAGAGCACTCAGAGTTGGGCACTCTACCGTATACAAAGCAGAGAGAAGGTGTGTGCATTTTTGTCCTGTGATAAAATGCCATGGCCAAAGCAACTCATTTAAAAAAAAAAAAAAATGGCTTATAGTTCCACTGTGGCAGGGAGGCGTGACATCAGGTAGCAGGCCTAACAGCAAGTGTCAGGTATGGAGACAACAGGAAGTTGAGAGCTCACATCCTCCGACACAAGCATGAAGCAGAGAGAGAGCTAGCTAGTGTGGGAATCTTTTAAAAGTCTTAGGGTTGCCGGATGGAGGCGCATGCCTTTAATCCCAGCACTTGACAGGCAGAGGCAGGTGGATCTCTGAATTAGACTGGTCTACAGAGTGAGTTCCAGGACAGAGAAACCAAAAACCAAATAAACAAACAAAAACTAACTCCTTTTAGTCCTGGCTGTCCTGGATCTCGCTCTGTAGCCCAGGCTGGACTCAAACTCAGAAATCCGCCTGCCTCTGCCTCCCAAGTGCTGGGATTAAAGGCGTGTGCCACCACTGCCACCACCACCTGGCTGGCGCTGGGGTTCTTAACCTGGCTGTGTGTCAACAACACCTCAGGACTTTACTCACTCCCTAGAGGGGAGGAGGAGGAGGAAGAAGGGAGGGGCTCCATCTTTGCAGCTATGGTGGAAGCCCTCACCCCTGCTGGATACAGACCTTCCAGTGTGGATGCCTTCAGGACATCCGTGTTCTGTAAGTAACCCTAGTAAATTCATTAGTACCCAGGGTCAATCTTGGTGGAACTGAGTTTTGGTTTGGCATTGGAACCTTAGGAGGAGGAGGGGGATATGTTTCCTAGTTCCCACCCTCACTACAGGGTCACCACCAACAACTGGCGAAGTAACATTTTTTTAATGAATGAATGAATGAATTAGTAGTTGTGAATTGAACCTAGGGCATCATGCACATGAGGCAAACACTCTCTACACTGAGTTATAGTCCCAGTTTGTGTGTGTGTGTGTGTGTGTGTGTGTGTGTGTAGTTGTTTTTTTTGTTTGTTTTCTTTGAGACAGGATCTCACTGTAGCTCAATTGGAACTCTCTATATAGATCAGGCTGGCCTTGAACTTACAAAGAGCCACCCACTTCTGCTTGGACTTCCCTAGACTCTTAAATCCTCAGAAGAAGCGAAGGAGAAACCCATCTGAAATCTCAGCACTCAGAAAGTAGAAGCGAGATCAGGACTTGAAGGACAACCTCAGTTATTTACCGCATTTAGACCATGCTGGGGTCTGGTCATGGTGGCGCACGCCTTTAACCCCAGCACTGGGGAGGCACAGGCAGGTGGATCTCTGAATTAGACACCAGCCTGGTCTACAGAGCGAGTTCCAGGATGGCTAGGGCTACAGAGAGACCCTCTCTCAAAAAAAGAAAGACCATACTGGGCTACATGAGATCCTGACTCAAAATAAAAATTAATTAAAAAAAGTTTCCCTGGACCCGGGCCCATTGGCACAGCCTCGCCATTCCAAAGACAGGAGGATTTCCTATGTGAGGTGCTAGGTTCCCATCCTCATTACATCTGTCTGAGTATGATGGCGTACACATGTGATCCCAGCAGGAGGCTTGAGAGCAGCCTACAATACACAGCAGGACTCTGTTTCAAGGAGGAGAAAACTCACGGGAGAGAGAACTCAGCTGTCAGGAGTGGGAACTGCTCCTGTAGAGGTCCTGAGTTGATTCCCAGGCCTCACATGTGGCAACCCCCAATGTCCTGGAATTCCACCTCCAGGGGTCATCACGCCCTCTTCTGGCCTCCATGGGCACCTGCACTCACGTGCATACACACAGACAGACACACATAACTAAAAACAAAACAAAAAACAAAACAACCCTTTTTTTTAAAAAAGGAAAAAACACAAACTTTCACTTGAGTTTTGTCTTTATCCAAAACCTGCCAGTAGCTTCCATCTGTCAATGAAAACAAAGGGGGTGGGCTGGGGAGCGGGCTCTGTAGGTAAAGTGCCTTACTATGTAAACATGAGGACCCGCGGTCAGAACCCAGCACCCATGTAAAAGCCAGGAGTGGGGCGGCAGGGGTGGCTCAGCCATTAAAGGCTAGACTTACAACCACAGATCTAAAAGCCAGGAGTGGTAACCCATTGCTGGGACAGCAGAGACAGGTAGATCTCAGGGGCTTGGTGGCCAGCCAGCCTAGCCAAAATGGTGAGCTCAGTGAAGGATTCTGTCTCAGAGAATACGGCCCAGGGCTGGTGAAATGGCTGAGCTAGTGAGGGCACTTGCTGCCAGGGTTGATGACCTGAGTTTAGTCCCATAACTTACACGATGGAAGGAGTGATGTGTGCGTGCGTGAGTGCGTGCGTGCATGCGTGCGCACATATACATGAATAAATGTAACTTAAAATATTTTTAGGCATAGGCAGGAGGATCTTTATAAGTTAGAAACCAGCCTGGTCTACATAGCAAATCCCAGGAGAGCCAAGACTGCAGACAGAGACCCTGTCTCAAAAAAATTCCCCCCAAATACAATACACATATGTAATTGTATGTATGTATGCATGTATGTGTTGAGACTGGGTCTCACTATGTAGCTCTGGCTGGCCTGCAACTCACTATATAAACTAGGCTGACCTCACTCATAAAAATCCACCTGCTTCTGCCTCCCAAGTGCTAGGATTAGAGGTGTGCATCACCATAGCCAGTCCTAAAATATATCTTGAAACATTTTAAAAAGAAGGTGGAGAGCAATGAGGAAGACACCCAAATAAGCTTCTGGCCTCCATGCACAGGCACAGGCGAGTGCATCTGCACACACGCTAATTTAAAGGCTTTCAAAGGCTTTTTTATGACCCACAGGGTCCCTCTATGGCCACCTCTCACTGCTACCCGTTCTCTGTGTTCCACAGTGAGACACGCTGCCATCACACCAGCGCCCTTGCAGTTTTTCTTTTATTGTTCAAGAATGTGTTTATAAAATCCACATACGCACACACACATCTACATACGTGCAAGATGCCTGCCCTGCTCCGGCCGCCCCTTGCCCTGATCTCTCCCGACACCAGACCTCAGCGGCCCCCCAGGAAGCCGCTCTGCAGTGCCCGCTCCATGTCACCAGTGCCGGGGCAAAGAGAGCAGATCTCCTGTTCTGCCTCCCTACTGAGGAACCAAGGGCGATGCCCTCTGCCCAGCGCAGGGAGTCATGAGGACGTAGCTTGACCTCATCTCTCCTCAGAGCTCCCCGAGTGGCCTAGGTCCCCAGTGTCACAGTTGCTAATGCCTTTGGGGTCCTCTGTTATTAAATGGAGGTCCAAAGATGGAGTATGAGTCACCGGGGGTCGGGCATTGGTATAGTGCAGGGGTGGGAACCAGGTTCTTCTCCATCCCCAGGAGATGGCTAAGTGAAAAACCAGGAGCCGGCTAGACTCTCAGGGAAAGGGCCGGCCAGGATCAAGAGGGGAGTGCCCACGAGTTGTCCCTGGAGCTTGGAAGCCTTCACTGGGATTAGAACGGTCTGCCCAGGGTGCCCTCTGTGACTGCCCGGGTGGCTTGCTCAGGTACACGGCTCGGGTCGGTCAAGATGCTGGTAGATGTGCTGAGCTGGCGAAGGGAATTCAGAACAGCTGGAAAAAGAGATGCCTTTAAAGTTAGGGATGAAGTCAAGAACACAGGGGAAATACTAGTTAGCTAAACAGGTGGCCCTTCCCAGGACCTCTTTCTTTAGGTGTTTTAGAGACTAAAGGACCATCCAGGGTGCGATATGGTGGAATGGTCTCAAACCCTAGGCTGTATTCAAGACAGACTAGACTTGGGGACCTAAGCAGGCAACTCTCTGCTCCGTGTGTGTGTGTGTGTGTGTGTGTGTGTGTGTTACTGGAGATTGAACTCAGGGTCTTGTGCATGATGATGTGTAAGTGCTCTTCTGCTGAGCCACACCCCAGCCCCTCACTGGGGGATTCTAGGCAGGGGCTCTACCACTGAGCCACACCCCAGCCCCTCACTGGGGGATTCTAGGCAGGTGCTCTACCACTGAGCCACACCCCAGCCCCTCACTGGGGGATGCTAGGCAGGAGCTCTACCACTGAGCCACATCCCAGCCCCTCACTGGGGGATTCTAGGCAGGTGCTCTACCCCTGAGCCACACCCCAGCCCCTCACTGGGGAATTCTAGGCAGGGGCTCTACCACTGAGTCACACCCCAGCCCCTCACTGGGGGATTCCAGGCAGGTGCTCTGCAAGGCCGCACACGTTAGTGGGCAGGAAGGTGGCTCACGTACTTGGTCGGAGAGCAGGCAGGGAACAGTACTGGTCCAGCCAAGCCAACGAGGTCTGGCGGAGGCTGTGCAAGCTTGCGGTAGACACCATGCCATTGAAGGATTCAAACAAAGGCCGGATGAGGATACTGAACTGGGCTTAGAGTCAAGGAACACACCAGTGGTCCAGACAGCACCCCACCACCTCACACAGAACTATGACACCTGACCTAAGCCAGTGCCAAGGAAAGCCTGTCACTGTCAACTGTGACCCCTACGGAGAGCCACCCTGTCGCCTCCCTCCCTGCCAAGGGCTGTCCACTCATCTCTGTATCGCTGAGTCCCTCCCCTTAGTCGCTCGGGAGCTCTCGTTCTGTATTAGTCCGTCCCACGTCTCTAGGCTCAGTCAAGAATCAGATACTGGCCTGACTGCACAGGCCGATAATCCCAGCCATTCAGGAGGCTGAGGGGGAGGGTCACAAGTTCAAGGCTCCCCTGGCCAACTTAGTGAGAATTTGTCTCAACATAAAAAGTTGAAAGAGGGCTGGGATGGAGCTCCTGTTAGACAAACACAGACAAACAGGGAAGAGTGGATGCCCTGCTTCTCTCCGCCTCATATGACTCGGACTTGAGATACTTCCAGACTGCCTTCGGGGACATCTCCCAACCGCCTTCTCCTACTCCCTCCCTCTCAGCAAGGAGTCCCAGCTGACATTCAGTCTTGCAATCCCAGGGCCTGATATGAGAGGGCAGAACCAAAGCCCGTTCCCTAGGGTCCTCCCGCTCAGCCCGTGGTCTAATCCCAACCTGGTCTGACTGCAGCATCACTACCCTCAGGTCATCAGCCCCAGGAAGGATACGACCCAGAACTTCCAGTTGTGCAGTGTCCGGGTCCGGACATAGTCATCGAACATGTCCCGCATCTGGTCAAAGCGCTGATGCGTGATGGGCACCCCAGTGGCTGGTAGCTGCTGCTGGCACAAGCTATGGATGCAAAGAATCAGGGAATGTGAGGACATGTCTCCCATACTCCAGCTCTTGCGTACTTTTTAAAAAAAAAAAAATTTATGTATTTTTAATTTGATGTGCATTGGTGTTTTGCCTGCATGTATGTCTGTGTGAGGGTGTCAGATCTTAGAGTTACAGACAGTTGTGAGCTGCCATGTGGGTGCTGGGAATTGAGCCAGGGTCCACTGGAAGATCAGCCAGTGCTCTCAACTGCTGAGCCATCTCTCCAGCCCATTCTTTTTTTTTTTTTTTTTCTTTTTTTTTAGGATTTCTCTGTATAGTCTGGCTGTTCTGGAACTCTGTAGACCACGTTGGCCTTGAACTCACAGAGATCCGCCTGCCTATGCCTCC